CTCACTTCCTTCTGCCGCCACCCACCATTGCCACCACCCCTCCTCTCTCTTCTCCACTGATGTCGCCACCCATCATCTCCACCACCTATATAGGAAAAGGAAAATGCTAATCTGGTGCAACCCTCTTATCTCTCTCCCTTCTCTTTCCTGCGGAGTGATGGATGCCAGTGATGTCTGTGTGCACTGATTCCTGGTGTGATCAGCGTCAGTGAAGTGGAGGACAGGAGTGAGGACGTCGATGTGTTCCGGTGGGAATTGGTGTTGCCGAATGAATCTCAGAATCGCGAAATCACAATTACTAATCCTAGCAAAACCTAAATCTAATTAATCAACTCCAATCTCGCCGGAGGAAAGGGAAAGCCGGCAGCGACCGAGCCGGTGGTATTACTTCTTTGCCAACAATATGAAGAGAAAGGGAAAAAGAAAAATAAAGGGTAAAGTGGTCATTTCATAAAAGTATATATTTTATTTTTTTTATAATAAATTAAAAAGTAAGAGTAAATTAGTAATTGTGCTTTTCAGTTGGTCAAAAATTAACTTTCAGTGGCTTTAAGAGGGCAATTTGCTTGCATTTTGGTTAGTGATATGTTGTGTGTGTGTGTGTGTGATTTGTGAGAAAGAAGCTGAAGAAATGTCAAATGAGTTTGCCGGTTAGGTGAAGGGAGAAAGTTATTTATTTATTTTCTTTTTACCATTTCGACGAAACGTACTCCAAAGTCCCATAATTTTTTTTAATTTCTATGGAAATGTGACTCCCAAAATTTACAATTTCAAAGACAGAGTTCTGGCTTTAGGAAATTTCCCATAATTGGTCAATTATGGACACCACCATCCCAAAAAAAAAAAAAAATGAAAAAGAAAATAAAAGAGAGACCACACAGCACTATAGTCTAAATATCAAAAGAGGGACAAGATCAAATTTTCCTCTTATTGCATTTTTATACAAATGAGAATTTTATCCGTAAAACAGTTCATGTATAGGAAATTAATCCCCTAAATCACCCCATAAATTCAAAAACCAGCTGGAAACCCACCCTTTCTTGGGTCGCTCACTGCCACAAGTCTCCCCAGTTTTGAAGGCTCTAACTCTTGAACTACAAATTGGCAAATAGTTCCACCAGCAAGGTTTTGTAGGACATGGCCCTTCTTTTGCAGGGCAGCCCTTGTCTGTGCAGGAAGTTCAAAGTGGTCACCAATAACAGCTGTCCAGTTCTCATACTGTACCACATTTGGAATCAGCTGCATGTACAACAATACTGTGCCACATTAGAAACTTCAACATCAAATTTAAAAAAAAAAAAAAAAATTTGCTCTAGTAAATGCGTTTTCGATGGTGACCTGATGATAGAATCTTGTAGCCATGGCAGAAGAGAATGGGTCCATTCCCTTGGCAAAATGATTCAAGAATACCTCTGTAGTCCCAGCAATTATCATGGGTCCTCCACTCGCGCCAAGAACACCTTTCAGGATTCCATCCTGTAAAAAAAAAAAACACCCACACACACACACTGACCAATAAGTATCATACTCTCTGAGAGAGACCATAAAGTCACAAGACTCATAACTATCAGGCCTTCTTATACCTATCAATTAACTGTCGTTTGAGAAAGGGACTAATCTCAACTGAGAAAAGATTAAACTCGAAGCTAGAAGTGAGCAATAAATGTTACCTTTAATTACAACAATAGTAGGTGACATAGATGACAGTGGTCTTTTTGATGGACGAATAAAATTGGCAGGTGCCGGTGGGGGAACGCCTACAGAAGCATTTGTAGGGATGGAGAAATCATCCATTTCATTATTAAGGAGTATCCCAGTACTTGGTGACAGAAATTGTGCTCCGAAGAATGTGTTTACTGTACAAGTAATGGAAACAGCATTTCGTTCACTTTCTACAATGGACATGTCACTAGTGCCATAAACATGGATCTGATTCCATCTTTTAAGAAGCATAGATTCAACGAAAAGAATCAGAGTCCCCTAAAATCAGACGCTTGTTGAAGGCAGAAATTACTTCAATAAAAAGAAAGACAATGCTACATGTTCTTTTTCTTCTTTGAAATCAAAATATGTGCAATCGCAATAGCCATTTATAATATGAGTCCTCTAACTGAAGAAACCGAAAATCGCCATGATTTGCCAATGAATTGGCTCAATATGATTGTTACATTCAACCTAATTTAAACTCTATGCATACAAAACACATGCATGCACAAGTTTCTTCATTCAAAAATTAGATTTACATTAAAGAACACAAATAAGTAAATAAATCATAGCTACATGCTAGTTAATGGTGATAAAGGGATATACTACATCAGATCATCTTTATTAGTAAAAAAGGTGCCTACTTGCCCAATGAATTGGGATTTCCCTATTGGTCCAGGTCATTTCGGGTGGACTGAAGGTTATATTATCATATATGGTTTTCTTCAACTCTGCTGCGCGCAAACTTTGGAGATAGCATATCAGATAAAACCTCATTAATATTAACAAAATCAGGATCACCAAGATTCATTCTCACAGCAAACGCGTGTTTCAATGCTTCAATCGTACGATGGACCCTAAGGGGACCAGAAACACCCACAGAAAATCCATATTGAGCAAGGATATTCAGTATCTGTGGCAGTACAAGCAATTGGGGAGCGACGTGTGAGCCTTTATATGTATAAAGCATTGCACTCGAAAACTAAGGGGAAAGGGAAGTGAAGAGACACACTTACAAGTACCATTGCTGCACCACCAGAAGGTGGAGGAGGAAAACCGAGTATTTTAAGCCCCAGAATGTCTGCAAAGATTGGTTTTCTCAGTTTAACTTGATAGTCCCTCAAGTCCTGCATTGTCAGTATCCCTCCTGCTTTCCTAACATCTCTGATCAAATTGAGTCCGATTGTTCCATTATAAAAGGGTTCCTTCCATATTGTTTCCAAGCTTTGTGAAGGCCTGCAAGTTCCCCTGGAACTGCAATGGATAGGGCACCACTAGCTTTCAGAGAAACATTTCCGGCGTACATATTTTAAAAAGGAACACGATGGAAAAGGATTGTCCAAGATTATGCATTTTAGACTCAATTGTGAAGCCAAATGAAAGGAAGGAAGACATGATTTATCAATTTGAGTACCTGAGAAGCTAGCATGGGAGCAGTTTCTCTCATATCAAAGGCTTGTAACTTCCCACTGGTTGATCTGACAAGCATAAACGCACCTCCACCAATGCCACTAGATGCTGGGCTAACAACGCCTAAGCAAAGAGGAGCAGCCACTGATGCATCAACAGCGCGACCTCCTTAGCGAAGGACATCCCTACCAATTCTGGAACATCGGCCATCATCAGTGGCAACAACACCATGATTTGCTGTAACAACCTCGCGTCTGGATTTGGTACCAGCATTGTTAAGGCTTGAAGTGGAAGACAACAGTGAAAAGAAACAGAACTGTAATGATGGACCAAGACAAGAACAGAGCTGCAAGCAATAGTTCAGTGTTATTCAGTGAAATAACAACCCAAAACTGGACTGCTCCGGCATCAGAAAAATTTAATTGTGCCCGTTACATCGTGAACATCGGGGGACTATATATGTCCAGGCGGATAATAAATGGTTGGATGCATGCAACGGGCATAATGAAGGTTTTTCCCCTAAATAAATGATTAAAGAACTACATTAGGCAGCTTAATAAATTGACTCTAACAGGATAGCTTTTAGACTAAACTTTAGTTAAGTTTATCTATAGCTTTAGTTTATTTATAGATTATTCCAAAATAGAAAGAGACATGGTTATGCGAAATGAAAATTTTCAATTACCAAAAGTATCATAAACACATTCTCTCTCCATATGAATAAAAAATGTGACCCCATCATTTTCTTAGTCAGTTCTAAAACTCCTTCCATGGCATGAAACATCATTTTTGAATATCAATGGAAAAATAAAAAATACCCATTCTATAATACCAAACAAGTGTACATTATGAACTAAAACATTAATTTAATTCATTACTATCAAACCAAAAAAAGAAAAACAAATAAAGAAAATCACTCACATGGCATTATCTTCATCTTCTTCTACTTTTTCTGTCAAATTTTAGAATAGAAACTTTTTTATCTCTTCCTAAGCCGTACCACAACCACTTTTTTTTCTTTTTTTCGAAATTTACCACAACCACTTTATATAAGTTGAGATTCTTCTTCAACAATAAAAATTAGCGGGCTTCTTCCAATCTTTTTCATCTCCTGAAACATCAATTTAATCAAGCGAAAGGTGGCTTTTAATAACAACAAAATAAAAAATATTATAAATGCAGTAGTGAGGTTTTTTCGTAATTTAATGGGGGCAATTTTAAAATTTTATAAGAATAAAAAATATAAAAAAAAATCAGTGGGGCAATTTACCCGCTGAATTCCAAATAGATCCGTGCGTGCATCTTCAATCTTTGTCAAAATGATGGCTTTGTGTTTAGAGGGTTTAGCCCAACCACGGCACTAGAATAAATTATTGTATATTTTATGTAACGTTCCAGTCTTGAATATCTAAAATTAAAAAAAATAATTTCGAGTTTGTGAGTACATGGGAGGAGTTAGAGGACCCATTATAGCACAGTGTAACAGAGGTCATTTGTTCTTCCATTGAAATCGGATTGAAAAGTGATTGGGTATAAATGGGTGAATATGCAATATTACCCAATAGTTTAAGTTTTTTAGTAAATGGGTAAGCGCCCAACCATTACAGTTGGTATCAGAGTCAGACACAAGTGCTCGGTCCGGAAGACGTCCTGGTTAGCACCCCAGGTAGACAGGATGGCCCGAACTTCAATGAGGGCATTGCAAGTTTGGATGAGAGAGAATGTAACAAGGATCATTTGTCCCACGTTAAAATTGAATGAGAAAGTGATTGAGTACGCAACATTATCAAATATTTTATTTTAAAATAGTTAGGTACTTCGCGTGTCCAATTATTTTAAGACGGGAATTAATTTAAAAAAAAAAAACATTTAACATTGAGCAGTTTAGATTTGGGCCTAAAACTTTTGACATATAGAGGGAAACTTTTGAAAGAGACCAAAATTCCAAAAAATTTAAAAGTTCACATCAGATTTTGAGTCGCTACCACAAAACAAGTCTCGTGCTCATTTTCTATCTCCGGCGAATTCACGCAGCAAGCTCCGGTGATCGGAGGCAATTGTCGATCGAAGATTGTTATATATACATACATATTTTCTGGTAAGTTTTTTTACATAGATATTGCTTGATAAAATCTGCTTCAACAATCGTCCATTGATGACGTTAAATACACTTGTAAGTTTGTTTTCTAGATATTGCTTGACAAACATCAGCATTTGAATATCTTCATTTTGATAGGAAAACTCAAACAGCTATAATTTCTGTATCTCTTTGAAGCATTACTCTCGAACAACGGAATTAGGGTTTTTTTTGCTTGATAGTTAATTTGTGGATGTCAATTGATAGTGAAGTTTATGCTTGCATTGATATATTTTCATAATCACACACAGATACACACACACACACACACACACACACACATATACTCGTGTTGATATGGTTTTGGTAAATGCTTATAGCGATTCTTGTTAGGGCCGCTTGAGAGACTGTATTGATTGTTACACAAAGGCAGACAATATTGTACTGATACACTTGTTTTAATCCCATTATCACAAAAATTGGATTTTAATTCAAAGATATTTTTTTAGGGCCCTAAATTTATATTGAATTTTATGCCACTGTCTGATGAAAAAGCTTAATGATTTCTAATTTTGGCTACTTTTATGACCAAATGTGCACTTAAACATGAAAATAAATTTAAATTCAGTATAATTAGACTTTAAAAATTAGTTATTTGTGAATTGAGTGCAAATAACTATTTGAAGATGCCTTTTATAAGTTTCATGCTGATTGAATCTAGTTCTTAAAGAAAAATAATTTAATGTTAGCCTCTATAATTGAGGATTAACATACATGTGTACCAAAATAAACTCAAATACTCATAAAAAGCACAGATATATTGGGTTATGGAAGTAATAATCAAATTTTTGAATTTTTTTTCACAATTACCAATCAGTTAAATAAACAAGACTGTCATCTTTTTCTTGTCAAACTTAAAGTAAATTCTGTTCCCTTCTCAACTCCCATAACAAACCTTGTAGCAGACTCTTCACTAATAGCCTCTACCACCATTAAATCTCTATCCGACTGCCTCCAAATAAAGCAAATGGCAACCATCAATCTGTGTTTCCCAAACTTAAACTACCACCGATCTCTTAGATCTAACATTAACTAATAAATAAATTCAAAGTCTATCCTAAATCAAATGAAATGAATATTTTCAAAAATATTTTAAACCTATGATTAAATGAAATGTCCCAAGCTTTTGGTTTAAGATCCAAGTTATGCTTGTGGTTTATAACTTTCTAGTGTTAGGGTGTACTTCAGTGGGTTTAGAAGCTGAAATTGTAAAAACAAGACTCATATTTGTAACAGATTTTTAGTTTAGGTGATTGTAGTTGAGACAAACGCAATTAGTTAAGACCCATATTTCGAGCTACTTAATTGGAAAGCTGGAATTGATGATTTATTTAACAGAACCAAATCAATACCACCTCTGCACCGTGATTTAACTGTTTCTTGCATCACTCAGTATGTTGCTAGCACCTAGTCTGATCAGCATACCATCCTCACTGCACTTCAAGTGTTGTCTCCACCTAGATTGCACTTTGTGCATACATCTTCTATGCCACATTTTTGCCACATAAACCATAACATCTAAAAAAGCAAGCATTAAAGGAAAGTCTCCTTCCCACCATCCTCTCCCTCTCCCTTCTTTTAGATTTCTGCCACATAAACCACATTTTTGCCACATAAACCACATTTTTGCCACATTTTTTCCATTTCTAAAGACCTATTTAACTTGATTAGGGATTTCTGCTGCTTTTGAAGTCCTTTTGTCCATATTGTTCTACATTGGTGTATCCTTTTAAGCCAACTACCAAGGGTGATTTAGGAACATATTTTCTGTGCCCGACAAACTTGTTTAGGTGTTACCATCAATTGACATATTTAAACTGGTTTTCTTTTGGCATCTATGTTGATATTTACTCATATGATTACTAAATATGTTACCTCGGGTCAGGTGTGAAAACTCTTGTTCAGGACGTCCTTATACCGGTCCACTTAAATAAGGAGATTTTTCTGCTGATGGTAACACATTTAAATTTAAGTTTTTCCAAGATTACATTTTCTTAATCAATGGCAAGACGAAGAGTTAAGAGAGCTGTCAAACCACCTGCTTCATCTGATGCAAGCGACAAAGATGGTGCTGGTCCAAAGGAGTTTGAAAAGAAAGAAGACACAATCAGAGACCAGGAAAGTATGCATTTCATTACGTGTTTCTTCTCATTTATTTACACGCTGTCTATTTCTAATATGAAAAACTAAGTGCCATCTTTTCTCCAAGTGGTTGCTTCTCTCATCATTTTTCTAATTCAATTGATTTTTTTTTTTCCAAAATGACACAGATTTTTGTAAAGGGATTCCCATAAGATTTCTCAGACAAGTCTTTTCATTTGCTATTTTGTAATTATTGTTGGTAATGAATAGTGGAATTGTTTGATAAAAATATTTTCAGATCTTTTTATTTTAGTTTTATTACATTATCCATTTATTATATATTGACCATAGTATGAATTCTAAATTTGTGAGACGCCAATGCATTGTTGAATTTGAACACTTTTGAGGCATTAATTTTTTATTGATCTATGTATTGGGATAAAAATTCGGATAAAGGGCAGTATGTCTCTTGTTGGCTGATATAAGTGCAACTTGAGTGGGTTGACCAGGTTCTCAGACAGGCTCGCAGTGCTCTTTTATTGTTACTTGAGCTGGATTGGATTGAACTTTCTCAATTGGATCATAATTTTGGTCGGGCTTGGATAGAGGTGTCGGGTGTCCAACTTGGATTCAAGTTGTAGTATTATTAGTAACAGTATTGTTTAAAAAATTTGTAATTTGAGCCTGGTCCGACTGATTTGAGGTTGCTCCAACTAATCCGACCAACCCATGGAATATAAGCTCCGATTGAGAGCTTTTTGTTGGGTTGAGGGTTTTATAATTGGTTGAGCTCGGGTTACCCCTCAACCCATCTGAGTTGCAAACTCATTGGCTGATACCATACACTGGTTGCTAACTATTGCAAGTTCCCCTATAGATAACTCCCTGGTCCACACTGGTTATTCTCCTGTAGTCTCTTTTACTGGAAAACAGATACTTCTACGATTCATGTTGCATCTATCCATCTATCTCTATCTGTTCTTTTTTCAATCAGCTCTGAATTTCAAATTTAATGGCATATATTTTGATGCTAGCTCGCAACTGCATATTTATGTACATATTGAAATTTTATTTTGACTAGTCTGATACACATTTTAGATTGTAGTTTTGAGGTACAATATTCTCTTCATTTTAGTACCAAAAACCAATTGGGTAATTCTGTTATTTATAGCATTTTGCTTTTATATTGGCTAGTATGTGTTTTATGTATGTTAAAAGCACTAACATATGTAGTACAAATCCATGGCAATCACACAGATCCTCATGCTTTGATCAATGTGTTTTACTGTTTTGGCCTCCCTTTGCTCCCAAACTAGGTTTCTTGATTAGTGTTCATGTGGTTTGACTGCATGTGTGGTGTTGGCAATCTGCCATCAGGCCCTCCTTTTTTAGGATTGGGATTTTTCATGTGGAGTAGAGAAACAGTGGCTGGGTTATGCACTGTCTGTATTTTCTTCGTCATGTTTTGTATTATAAGATCTTCCTCATATATGACGAAGTGCATTTGTGGTCAATGTTTATTCCCTTTCTTTTTGTTAATTTTTTACCTTTTTTAAAAATCTTTCACAGTTGAACATCGAAGTGCTGCAATTAGGGCCATTCATGATATGGAGATTGAACATTTGCTTACTGGGTTGCACTTGCTTCGCTCATACTTTAAGAAGGAACAGCTGGAGACTCCTGTACTGCAATTTTTCGAGGAAAACCTTCCAAATCTGTCTGTTCTTAAACATGGAAAATATGGACAGCACGAAGTGCAATGGAAGGATAGAGATGGTAACTTAACAATGAACCAAGCTGATGGAAGAAGCATACATTCTTCTCTTCTACATCGGATGTCCATAGTTTATCCTGATTGTTCTACTGCAATGCCATCTTTTGGTGGCTTTGAATTTTCAACCGAAGCAGGTATTGATAAATCTCTTTTGACATATTAGAATTTGAGTTTCTTGCTGTGCTTGTACCTTACACGAGTTATCTGATTGGTGGCAGTTAAGGCAAGCCTCCTTGGTGCTGATAATTTGCATATCAAGGATACTGTACGTTCTTACGTTATTTCTGTCGTGGTTGTGTTGTTTGAGGATGGGTGGGGGGCTTTTGGATTTTGGATGGGACAAATTTTCTTATTAGACAATGCTCTTCTGGAGTGTTGTGTAGTGGAAGATAACAATATTTTTTGAAATAGTATGTTGCAACTGTTTCCAAGGTTTAATCACAAGGGATATTGAGTGTTTTTTTTTTTTTTTTTTTTTTTTTTTTTTTTTTTTTTTTTTTTTTTTGTTCCAGATGGCAACATATAAAATAATGCTTTGATGACACAATCTGAAAATTCTGTTTCCTTCCTCACTTTCTGCTTCAAATTTTTCCTCTTGTAGGTTTTGGAGGAACCGTCTGGTACTCAAATGCTTGGTTTGCAAGATGGTTTTCAAACTCCAGGGGTTTGTCTTCTTGGTCATTTCTGGATGGTTCTATTTTAGCTGAGCTTTGTTCTTTATTACTTTTCTACAGATCTTTACTTTTTAGGAATTTAATAAAATTCAAAATCATGTTTCATTTGCCAAAGTAGATTGAAGGGTTCTAAAAATTAACTGGATTTACACCAACGGCCAGTGGGCCAGCGGTACCAAGCCCCTACTTCTCAAAGGGAGGTTAGGGTTCAAGCCTCAGTGGAGGCATGGGTGTGTGAGTACCAACTAAGAAAAAAAAAATATAATAATTAACTGGATTGCACAAAGTGAGTTCAGAAATTTACTACTAGTTCTCGGGAAAAATAAAATATAAAATCAATGGGATGCAATATCAATGACAATCTGCTGAAGAAGCTTAGGTGAAATTGCATTGTATTCTTGATGGTTCTGTTATACTGCTAAAAAGGGGAGTGCCTGTTGCATGCCCATTGCAATATGATGTAGGGTTCTGGAGTTAGACGTATGAGGATTTTGACAGCAAGATTCATATCATTAATTTGTTAAGACTAAAATGTGCTATATCATTAATGATATGGCTTTGCAATTTATTTAATTGAATAAATGAAAAGGAAAATTGTATGAGAGGTTGTTGGTTAAAGTAGTTAAATAGAATGACAATTCTTTAACAATGTGCTACTAGTTAAAAGCTAAAGAAGCATTAGGATGGTTGTTATGTTTGTTTTTTGTGGTAAAAGAGTTGCTGGAAATGACTATAGTACCTATAATTATAATTGCAGGTGAGTAGCCACAGGTTGTCTGTTGGAATGACACCCAAAACTCTAAGGCTTCCTAAACATGGGGAGATGCTTCTATCCGTCCATGGTTCACCTCTTGGTGTTTACAAGGAAGACAACATGGAGGCCATACGTGGTATGCTTCTCTTTTTTATTAAGATTCTGTATCCCATTCTTTGCAATGTGTATATTGTAAGGAGGTGATCCTTCGTTAATTAATTAAAAATAGGGAAATATTTTGGATTGTCCCCTTGCTTTCCTGTTCTCTCACTGCCATCTTTTTACTAAACTGAAAAAAGGTTCCTACAACTTTATATTAGAGTGGAAAACTTGTCATTAATCTGGAACCGACCATCAGTCTCATTATTTTTTGATTTGTTGCAGAGTCGGATGAAGATTGAATGGCTGAATTTGCAATACTATCCAACTTGAGGGTGCTCTAAATTTACTTGTGGCGTTGTATTATCAGTATAATTGTGCTTATATCCATAGGCACCAATTGATTTAGAATGTTTTTGGGGCATCTATGTTTCCGAAAAGGCTGGGATGAGTTTTTAATGGTTCTGCTTGCATCAAGATTCTTTAAACGAAGCATCAACTTGATCATCATTTCAGGGCTGAGCAAAAGCTCTCCAAAGGATTTTGTATGTCAAATGTTATGCCTACATCATTTTTTAAAATAGCCAAGATCTTTAGCCAAAGCCGGCTTTGTGTCTGGAGCGGAGCTGAACAGTGATGAGTGCACTGTATACAGCAGTGTCAGGCTTGCTACACATCTCTGAGACGGGCCACATGGATAGCTGATTTGGGCCTCTCTTTCCTATAACTGATACTGTTATTAACTGTGTAAACCCAATTATCAGCTATATACCACCCTTGTTTTTGTATCCACCCGACTACCTAAATTAAGATACACACACACACACACATATATGTATGGGATTTTATTTATGGGAGGCTATATTTGCACTACATTTTTCAACAATTACACTACACTTTTAAAATAAATGACACTTTTATCCTTCATTTTATAAATAAATAAATAAATATATATATATATATATATATATCACAAATACCCTTTTAGTTATGGAAAGAAATATGTGTCTCCCTCTCTCTCACCAAATTCCCAAGTAACCTTTTAGATCACTTCCAGCCTCTCTGGCAATTCTTTCTATTAAATATCTCCTTTTTCTCTCTCCCTCTCCTTAGGGTTTAGGATTTATATTTGTAAGTAACAATAGAACTTATTGAAAATCTTATACATGAAGACATGGTAGAGTTGAACAAAGTAATTGATCTTGTTACTGTGGGAAGTATGGCTGAATTATCAAATCTTTATAAACCATTATAATTGATCTTGTTAGTATGGGAAGCATGGATGAAGTATCAAATCTTCATAAGCCATTCAACTCCATTGATAATAATGGTGATGATATATTTTTTTTCTTTTGTTATTGTAGGCCATATACAAGGAAATCATATTATCTTCTTAAAAAATTCAATTAAAAAGAATAAAAGGATGAAACCAAAATCACAATAACGAGGGACGGAAAAAGAAGGAAGAGAATGAAGCCAAAATCAATGAAAAAACTAAGTCTATGTTTGATTATTATCTTCTTCTTTTTTTCTAATTCATAAGTCCAAGATATCCATTTATCAATACTTGAAAAGTAAAAACTATAATAATACCAAGTTTAATACTAGGATTTAAGAAAAATGGAAATGTAAAGAAAAATTAGTTTTTTTTTGGCGTGGTCCCTTCCTTTTAATGATTTATTTGGGTATTTTAAATTCTTAAAATAACTTAAAATAATTAAGTATAATTATTCAAAAGGAAAAAAAAGAAAATAGTATACATGAATGTAATTAGGGCAATAGTATTGAATTTGTGGGCGTTGGAAGGGAAATTGATGAGTTTTGACTTTCTTTATGTTAAAATCATGGTGGGTTGTAACTAATTCCCCAAAATACAGGACAACACATGGTACATATGAATGTAAGTAGGGCAATAGTATTGAATTTGTGAACTATAGAAGACAACGATGTTAAGAATATGATGCAAGTATAATTTGACAAATGAATGTGACGACAACAGCTCTGACTAATATGTGGTGTTGTGTATATAGTATTAAGTTTCCATACAAAAGACTCAAATCATCATGAAATGACCATAATGGGCATGGTATAATGAATTTAAAAAAAAGAAAGAAAAGAAATTGAACCCTACGTGAATCGAACACGCAACCTTCTGATCTGGAGTCAGACGCGCTACCATTGCGCCAAGGATCCACTGTCATGTTTCTTCCAGTAAAAAAGCAATATCAATATAATCCATAACCCATATATTAGGGTGTGTCCAGTAATCCAAAACATTTTCTGTTTTCTGTTATCAATCCTTAAAAAAGAGAAACAAACACAAAAATTATGTTTAATAATTTGTTTTTGTTTCTTCTTAATGAAAAACATTTCTCATTTTTGTGAAAGAAAGAGAAAACATCAAAATGATGTTTTCTGTATTTTTTCTCTGTAGCAGAGGAAACGTTTTCACCACTGTTTCCCTCGTTTTTACACAATAATTGACATTACTCTCCCATTAATACACAACTACTGACATTACTCCATTAGTACTTTCTTCTTCTCTTTACTCTTCCATTAATACTTCTTCATTGTTCTCTCTTCATCACAGGGCTCACGTCTCTCTTTCTCTCTTCTCAGAAAAGGTATGTCCTCGTATCTCATTCTCTTTCCTCTATTCAACAGATCTAAGACTTGAATGGTATCTTGCCCGTAATTTTTTTTTATTTTTTAATTGTTGTACATGTATGGGTTGTAGATTTAATAGTTTTTTGTTTCAGAGTAGGAGGAGAATCAGTCTTACTAGTATCTTGCCTTGTATTTTTTTTTTTCCTTTTTTTGATTGTTATACATGTATGGGTTGTGGTTTGTTTTCAGATTTTTTGTTAATATATATGTATATATAAAATCTATTTTTATATTCTATATATATACATTATACAATTGTACGCCATGTATTTATTTATTTATTAATTGTTATACATGTATGGGTTGTGGTTTGTTTCAGATTTCCAAAAAAAAAAAAATTTTTGTAACAAATGTTTTACTAAACACTGCTTTTTGTTTTTTGTTATTAAAATTGTGGCAACAGCAAAGATTACTAAAAGTTATTTTTGCTTTATGTTTTTACTTCAAAAAACAAAATTATGTTTCTGTTTCTTTGCGACTGCAAAAACAGAAAACGAAAACATTACTAAACGCATCCTTAATTCCAACCTCTACCATCGAGCAAAATTATTTAATCCCTATTTCTACTCCTGGTTTAGAACAGTCAATACATTCAAATTTGCATGATAATTAATTAAAAGCTAGCATGAATGCTACCAAAAAAATATCATTAATTTTTAGTTTCTTCCTTAGGCTGTGTTTGTTTGATTCCTGTGTGTTCCAGCAATGTGTTCTAATTAACCTTTACTTACCCATAAACGTCCACCCCTTCAAATGGTGTTGAGTAACAATTCCCTACCCATAAACATCCCCACCCATTCCATTCAAGCAGATTTTGCTTTCCTATCCATAAACTTACCCAACTATTCTCTCTCTAAGAGGATATATATATTTGTACCCGGTCGGTTATGATGAATACAGATCAACATAATATTAATGCAACCTTCAACTCAAGATATGAAGTGCTCTGCAACAGTTCTAATCATCTTCATGCTTCTTATCTCAATCCATGCTGGTACGTACAATACTTCTAATTATCTTCATTTATATATACGTGTACGTATCTGTTCGATTAATTTACATTAAGCAATGTGGTATATATATTAATATATATCATTGATGACATATATGCATGAACAGGTGAAAGTTACAAATTGACACTAATCTGCAAGGATGAAAAGCTGTGTGGGCCACCACCCTTCTCCTGCAGTCGGTCCCTCTGTGATAAGCTTTGCGCAAAGTATTTTTCTACTGGATGGGGAAAATGCAAAGACAATCACCCCTATGTTTGCCAGTGTTTCTATATTTGCTACAAAGATATTTCTCTTCCCGAACCTACTAACCCTACCCTTAACCTGCCTTCTGTGATCGTGGCTTCTTCTACTTCCAAACCATAGTGTGGGACATGACATGTATATTGACATCTTATGATATTTGGATAGAAATCAATATTTGTGGTTAAAATAAGATATATATATTTAATGGGCAGGGCATTTTGGTCTACTTTTGGTTCATTTGCACTGACTTCATAAAACATTACTATTATGCTATGAAGAACGGACACTACTCCCAGGGATTCCGTACCCGTGTCAGATACTTTTCGGACACCGACACCCGTGTCCGATACTTCTGTAAAGTGTCCAAATATTATTTTTTATTGGACACGCGTGTCCGAGGCTCGGACACACGGTCAGACACTTCTGTAAAGTGTCCAAAATTTATTTTTTCTCACTCCTCTCAATCTCTCCTCTTCTTCAATTATCTCTCTTCATGAATAAGATATATATATATATATATATATATATATATATATATATTTAAGTTACATGAACAAAATTTTGTGAAAGACTAAAAGTATATATGTTTATTCATATACATATTTAGTTCGTTATAGTTATGTCTTTTCTGCACATCTTCGTTTGGAATTTGGATCAACTTTATTTTTCATTTATTTTCTGTTTTGTCTTGTCTATATTTTTCTTACAACAGAGATGAAATTATTGAAATTAATTCTGTTCTTTGTTGTTATTTTATTTTTTTGTACAAGATTCTAGTAATTATATTTTGAATATATATATATATATATATATATATATATATATAATTTTATAGGCGTATACCCGCCGTGTCCGTGTCCTATTTTTTTGAAATTTGCCGTGTCGCCGTATCCGTGTCGTGTCGTGTCGTACCCGTATCCCGTATCTGTGTCCGTGCTTCATAGCTATTATGTGATTAAGTGCTTATTCAATTAAGTGTATTTTAATAACAGAATTTAAATATTACTTAAAATTGTTAAGTGTCATTTAAAATGAAATAAAATGTTAAGCAATGAAAATAATATTTATCACTAAATGTTAACAATTTTAAAAATAAAATAAAATAAAAATTAGCATTAAAAATTCAGATCTTGATTTTCAATTTTATCGTTCAGCATATGAAAAACAGAAAAGAAAAAGAGAGGAGGTGATTCAGGCGAATGAAAAGATTTACATAATCAAACTCTCCTTATGTTTGAAAAACTAATAAGAAAAAAGAAATGAAAGGATTTACCGACAAAAAAAGGGAAAAAAGAAATGAAAGATAGCATCAACCCTTTCTTCTTTTTTTTTTTCACGGGAATTTGTCACGCCTTCTTTCATTAAACAAAATTGTCTTATTTTGATAAAATTAAAATTGTGACATTTTCTTTTCTGAATATATAAAATTGTCACATGATATAAACTATTCAATGATGCATCATAGAGTACATGAGAACAAAACATGAATTTCACTTATTTTAAAAACTAGTAACGAAGGATACATAATCACTCTGTTTTTTCAAATCCTTCCAAACACTTTTAAGAATGAAAACAAAAACGCTATTGAAAGTATTACACCAGCCTATGCTTAATTCCTTCTTTCCCCTCTTTTTTTTTTTCTCTCTCACAATCCAAACTAGGGCTCTTTTTATTTGGACGTAAAATATTATTTAGAAAATACTTTTTTATTTTCTGGTATTTGGTTACTATAAAATATTTACGAAAAAAAAAAAAATTTAAAATTTAACAAAAATAACTTATTCAGTAATTTTTGGCAAATTATTTTATATGACTCGTCCGATGGACTCGATCTCAATCTCGACCTAAACCTTTGCCAAACACCGATAAAGTAAAAATGAATATTTTATTTTAAAGAAAAATGTTTTAAAAATAATATTTTACGTCGAAACAAATAGAGCCTAGATGTAAATATTTTGACTATGAGACCTAGAAAGGTAATTTCAAAAATAATTAATAATGCTCCATTAATGTTTTCAAACTTGTCAATTTATTCATGGTTTCATTTAATTTAACTGAGCAGATGTTAAAAGTGGATCGAAAAATAAAATTCATGATTACAAGCAATACTAGTTAGGGGAACGGGGATACGAAGGTCCAAACATTTGATTGCCATGGGAAATCAAATTGAGGAAGTAAGGCCAAAAACATCACCTAAGATAGTTTAATAAAATAAAAAATTTAGTACTAAATATTTTTATTGATGCTTCCATAAAGATTCGAACCCTTGACATAAGAGGCTGGTACCGCTAAGTCATTGGTCTGTAGATAATACTCAATATTTTAAAAGTTGAATTTTAAATATTGAAAATTTTAAGTTGAATTTTTTTTTTTTTTTTTTTTTTTTTTTTTTTTTTTTTTTTTTAAATTTTAGCATTCTGCATTTAGTGGCACTAACCACAACATGGTTTGTTCCTCATAAAACAGTTTTCTAATTTTCTATTTTCCTGAAAATAAATGGTGATATTCTTCCTCCATTGATCAAGAACTTTGATTTTTCATTTTTTCAAATGAACAGTAAGAAGACCTGTTGATTCTAGTAACTGATTGCAGAGTTGATTGTACCTTTCAATTCATAGGTGTAGATAACGAACATATGAATGGGGATATTTCAAAACTGACAAAGAAGAAAGGAAGTGAATTACAAAAAAAAAAAAAATTGGCTTAATGAAAGATAGCATCAACCTTTTTTTTTTAACAGGAATTTGTCACGCCTTCTTTCTTTAAACAAAAATGGCTTATTTTGATAAAATTAAAATTGTGACATTATCTTTTCTGAATATATAAAATTGTCACATGATATAAACTACTGAATGATGCATCATAGAGAGCAAAACATGAATTTCACTTATTTTAAAAACTAGTAATGAACGATACATAATTACTTTTTTTTTTCAAATCCTTCCAAACACTTCTAAGAATGAAAACAAAAACGCTATTCAAAGGTTTATAGCCTATGCTTAATTGCTTCTTTCTCCTCTTTCTTTTTTCTCTCCCTCAATTCAAACTAGATGTAAATATTTTTACTATGAGACCTAGAAAGGTAATTTCAAAAATAATTAATACCATTCCATTAATGTTTTCAAGCTTGTCAATTTATTCATGGTTTAATTTAACTGAGCAGATTTTTTTTTATTATTTTTTTTTACAAGGCAGGAAGGGTTAGAAGTTAGATTAGTAGGTGTAAAGAGTCGAAACCTGGCACTCCCAAAATCCACCGGAGGCAAAAATGAATAGAAAAATAAAATTCATAATTATGAGGAATAATAGTTAGGGGAACGGGGGTACGATGGTCCAAACATTTGATTAGAATAGAAAATCAAATTGAGGAAGGCCCGACAAAAACATCACCTGAGATAGTTTAATAAAATAAAAAATTCAGTACTAAATATTTTAAGAGTTTGAATTTTAAATATTGAAAATTTTAAGTTGTAATTTAAAAAAAAAATATTATTATTATTATTTTTTGAATTTTCAGCATTCTGCATTTAGTGGCACTTACCGAAACATGCTTGGTTTGTTCCTCATAAAACAGTTTTCTAATTTTCTGTTTTCCTGAAAATAAATGGTGATATTCCTCCTCCATTGTTCAAGAATTTTGATTTTTCATTTTTTCAAATGAACAATTTGAAGACCTATTGATTCTAATAACTGATTGCAGGGTTGATCGAACCTTTCAATTCATAGGCGTAGATCACGGACTTATGAATGAGGATATTCCCGAAACTCACAAAGAAGAAAGGAAGTGAATTAGACAAAAAAAAAAAAATGTTTGGACAAAAAAAGAAGTGACTTGGACAAAAAGAAACCAGGTGCATTACCAATTAATTTTAATTAGTAATTTATTTTATTATTTAATAAATTATTTTATTAAATAATTACTTATTTTATTTTAAAAAGTAACTTTGTTTTAGTTGTTTTAATAGTTTTATTGAAATTCTTTTATTTTAATTCATTTTATATCAATTAATAAATATTTTTCTATATTAACAAAAAATACAAAAAATGTTTATAAAAAAATATACTAAAATACTTAAACTCTTTACACTTTTAATAATAAGTATAAATATAGATATAGATTATTTTTTAATAAAATATTAGTATGATATTTTTTTATAATTTATTTTAATAAAAAAATAAAATAAATGTAATTTAATAATAAATTATTATTATCAGTTAACCAAAAATAACCTTGACATGATCATATTAAAAATAACAATAATAAAAAAGAAGTTGGAAAACTTGGTATGTTGAGTAGCAAGAAAAGAAGAGGGTGGAAGGAAAATATAAATTTTGTTAGTTTGGTAGAAAAGATATAAGGAAAGAAAGGATAATAGGAAAGATGAGTCATCCTTCCTCATTCACAATTTTTCAGAAAATACGAGAGAAATAAGTAAGCCTGTTATAAAAGTTTTAAATTACTACATCATCCTTCATAAATATTTAATAAAATTTATAATTATATAAAGTAAATAATAGGTTTAATGGTAAAAATAATTTAAAAAATTATCTTTGTTTTATTCTCTTCAATCTATCCAACCAAATAAAAAGAGGAAACACTTAATAAAGAGAGGCATCTGTATTCGTGGGTTTAGGGATAGAGAAAAGGGTTTAGGTCTTTCCAAAGATAGGGGGTTTTGAAAAACCCTAAAAAGAATTATCATTCTCTTATATATCTATGGATGATTACTAAGGATTCTAAAGGTTTTCAGAAGTCCTCAAAAGAATTCTCATTAGCTCTTTCACTTTCGAATCTCAACAATGGCGGACCTTTTACCCGAAGAATTGATTACTGAAATCCTCACAAGACTACCGGTAAAAATCCTTGTACAGATGAGGTGCGTTTGTAAATCATGGTGTTCTCTAATCACTAGCTGTTATTTCATCAATTCAAAACTCAATCAAACTATCCATTTTAACAAATTCAACAATGCTCGTACACTTGTCATCGCTCATTACATTAATGGGGAAGAAAAAGGAGAAGGTCGAGTTTCAATAAATCTGTACGATGAAAGAGTGGGTACATGTCCTATAGAAATTGATAGCCCAATCCCAAACTGTGGTTCTGATTTCCGCATATATGGTTCTTGTAATGGTTTGGTGTGTCTCACTGATAATGCCTTTGATCACGTGAATAGTTTAATTCTGTGGAATCCCAGTATTAGAAAATCTGTGAGGCTTCCAAAGCCCAGCATTGGCATTGATTCGCACACTGATACCTATAGTAAGGTTGCTAGCGCTGATTCAAGTGCCCCAAATCAGGTTGTCATTGGATACGGCTTCGATTCCAAAAGTAATGATTATAAAGTTGTTAGAATTGCTCGCTTACACAATTTTCCAGATCCTGAGGTTGGTCTTTACTCTCTTAACAAAGGATGCTGGAGAAGAATTTGTGTTGTTGGTCCCCATCACCGTATCGGTTGTAATCCACTTGCATCTCAGGCTTTTGTCAATGGGGTTGTCCATTGGGTTGGGCGCAATGTAGATTCTGCTTCTGATATTTCAATCTTGTCATTTGATATGAGCAGTGAGGTATTCTGTGAGATGAAGCTGCCGGGAAGTCCAGCAGATGATGGATGGCTGGTGACAAATATAGTTGTTTCTGTGCTTGGGGAGTCACTTTGTGTGGTCCATTTTGATTCTTTGGTTAGCGAAGTTAAAATATGGGTGATGAAAGAATACGGTGTTGTGGAATCTTGGAATAAACTAATCAGTTTTGAAGTGGATAGTTTTTTCGGGATGACACTTGCTTTCAGGTGGTATGGTGACCTTCTTTTCTTTCGAATAAATGATTACATGTTTTCAATTAACCTAGATTCTCAAGATCCTAGGAATGATGGGCTTCTTTTCTTTAATAGAAATCATCACTTGTTTTCATTTAACAAAGAGTCTGAACAAGCTAAGGATCTTGGAATACGGTTATCTGGTGATATGAACTCATTTTACATTGTTAATTACATGGAGAGCTTAGTCTTACTTTAGGAAGTGAATCAAGTCTCAAGCAAGCCTAGTTTTTGAGTGCAGCAGTGAGCTAATAATTTTCTTATCGGAAAGCTTGGAGTTGGGAGGAATCAAGAAAATTTCAAGAGCAAGCATACGAAGAATGAAACCACAATAATTGTTCTCACTTATCCTTGACCTTTTTCTTCGTCGCATAGTTTCAGTATTTTTGTCTTTAGTTCCAGACGTGTTGAGTCGCTATCATGAATCATCCCCGATGTTGTTGGCAAAAGCAATGAGAAATATTGAGATTTGCAGTTCTTTTTAGTTCAAGATCAAACTGAAGATACTCTCCGTCACAAAGACACCTCAGAATTAGGATTGCAGTATGCAACTTTTAGATGGTTTCAAAATACTTTAGATTACACCATATTAGATGAGAGTATTAAGGGCTTCTGTATTAAAATGCCAACATTTATTTATTTGTGATGTGTCTGTGTGCGTTTTGAAATGCATTCTATTACATTTGTGATTATTGGTTATTTATTACTTTTAATTTTTTTTACTAACTATGGTAATGCTCCTACACAATAATTCACAGGGGCCTCTGGTATTTTGTTTTCTTTTGTAATTTTCTGACTGCCCCACAGAAACATGAACATAAGCACCTAACACTGTTATGTATAACATGGGAACAGAAAAAAAAAAAAAAAAATGCTACTTGACAGTGCCAGTTGAGGTAGCTAATAAAGTTTATTGTGATTGTATTAAAACTCTACACAAGCCTACTACTATGTTTCAGGCAAACGAAGGAGATGATGAACTAGCCGTTGAAACAGCTATTTTTGAAACCTCACTTTGGGTTTGTGAAATTAGCTGAAGAACTTCAGCACTCGAATGTGGAGATGGGCTCATATCTAATATGGGCTTATTCTTTAGAAACCAACTTCATACTCGATGGGTCAATAAACGCCCACCAGATTTTGGGCCCAATCCCAAAGAATTTGGAAGCTCTTCTTGCTTGAGACTTTGTTTAGATAAATAGGGAAGATAAAGAAAAGAAATGATAATATTATTTGAATAAATTATGAAAGAAAAGAAAGGATAACATTTTTGTTTAGAAAAGTTAAAAGGAGAAAAATTGAAAAGAAATTATTTTAACCAATTTCTTACTCCGTATTATACTCTAATGTTGAAGTGGGACTCAAATGTTTTTTAAATTTATTTTATTAAAATATTAAGTTTATTTTCGGCATTGTGAAAGTGTAACTTAATTTGCTATACTTTCTTCCTAAATCTTTTCATTTTTAGAAGGTAAAAAAATACTTTACTTACTCTTTTTTTTTCTTTTTTCTTTTTCAAATCTAATTTTTGGCTTTTAGGCTTTGTTTGAAGAATATCAATTTTTTTTTCCCCTCTAGGTCACACACCTCTCCTCCAAGGAATTATTTACACATAATAGGAATCGATTCTGAGACCTGATACTTCATGAGGCTTCAGCGCCTTAATCTTTTCTAACTAGACCAACCCTTGAGGTTAAAGATACCAAATCTTTCCAAACCCTTTCTTTTCTCTTCTCAACAATCTAAAATCACTACCAAACTTTTCGAATTTATGTCAATAATTTAGAGGAATTGTGAAGTAAATTTTTCATATTACAATTTGATTTTAGAGTGAAATTTGGAATGTCAAATAAAAAAGAGGAGAAAAGTTACATCCCTTGTAATATTCTCTTCTTTTTTCTCTTTATATGGTTGTGGGAACATTTGTCCTATATGTACAAATAGAAATCGGGCGGATCTTTACCCAAAGTAAATTATAAACCTAAAAAGATTGAAGAGGCCCATTTAGGAACAAGAAAACGACATTGTGATTTGGATTGGATTTCGATGAAATAATGCATCAATGAGAAGTTAATTCGATAAGTTTAGTGAATTCTTTTTTATATTATAAAGAAGAGAACAAAAACCCATCTTTATCGAAAAATAAAAGAAAAAGAAGCCCTTTCGGGAGAAGTGAAAAAGAACCCGCTATGAAAAAAGAAGAAGGACCGGAATCTACACATTGATTCATTTTTTTTCGCAAATTTTTTTGAACCATATGCGTCAAAAGGTGTTGGGATTTATATGCCCTGGCATAGCAAATTCCTGTTTGGATTAAAGTGACATATGTTCCTGACGTTTCTGAAATATTTATGTTTTATACAATTGGTGAATTCAATGTATTATATTTCGATTCATTATAGAATTGATAGTGTCCATTTGATTACAAGAGATATTTATATATATGTATGTGATGGCAATCAATGCATGATATATAAATAGTAATCATAAATGGTTCATAGTCAGTAATTATGGATGGACTCATAATTAATTAAGACTTGAACTGGATCCGCGTTTGGTTGAGATATATTGCGAGAGCCGTCGTATGCAATTGTTCCCTATCATCGTCATGGCATTTGACTCTTAAGCATGAGAAAATTATAGACTCTTTTATTAATTAATAATTACTTTGATTTGTTCGGTGGATTCTTCGGGATCCTTAGACCGACACTTTGGGTAGTTATGTAATTAATAATTAGAGAGTTATATTTTCAATATTTGCATCATTGTTACTTGTATTTATTTTGTATTGATTATGGTTGATCACAAAGTAAATTCGAAGGCCTTCGTGTGTTTTTAGACAAAATGATTTATTATATATTTATTTATTTAAATTATTATATTTGTTAAACAAATGTTTTATTGTGATCGAGCCAGAAATAATCAAAGGTACCAAAATAAATATATTAATTAAGCAGTCGGATTGATGGCTTTATTTATCCGATAACTAATTATGCATAGAGGGGTCAAAGTGCAATATTGACTTAGAGGTTATTTATTATTTAATTGGAGTTCAATTAATTTCTTTTAGTGGAGTAGGAATTAATTTATGAATTAATTGAATTGGGTCCATGGACCGGGCCAGTTATTAATTCATTGTAGCCAATAAAATAATAGGCCTAATGGATTCTCACTCATAACCCAACTTGATATTGGAATCATATTAGATTTGAGACATATGAATTAGAGATTGAGAAGGATTAGTTGTTTCCTTTTCTTTACCTTTATGTTGCCTATAAATATACATGGTTTATGTATATTTTAGGGGTGATTTTTTTGGAAAGAAGGAAAAAGGAATAAATTTTCTCTCTCTAGAAAATTAGGGTTAGTATTCTCATCTAATGGAGGCTCCCACAAGCTTAGTTTTCCAAGGTCATTCATGGAGGCTTATGAGTGATTCCTAAAGGCAAGACCATTACCAAGAAGATGGAGATCCATGGAAAAGGTGTCTAGCAAAAGGGATCTACAATAAGTGAGAACATTCACTTTAGAGGAGAGATCTAAGTTTTACTCAAACCTTGATGTAAGTATTCAATCTTTTAATTGAATGGTACATCATGTTTTATTTTTACATCAAACTTGTCTCTATGTGATGAATCAAGATCTATGAATTAAAATCCCTCAAAAAGTTTTTAAAACTAGTAAGTTTCCTGACAGTAGTATCAGAGCATGGTTTGATTCATTACTAGAGATCATGTTTTTATCAAAATCATCATCATGGATCCAAATTATATATATATATTGATGTATGATTTAATATATTGATACATGATGATGTATGTATAATTGTGAATGGATGATGATGTGTGTTTGGACCATGGATGAAGCTTATAGGTTTATTGAATGTAATTTTATCTTTGGATGACTGTAATTAAGGCTTTGATTTAGCCGTTTGAAAGTTCAATGATGTAATTTAATTTTTTCCATTGTATTTCAAATTATAAATATTTTTAAAGTTATGTAATATTCATCAAAGGATGCTATGAAGCTTCAAGATGGTCCAAGAGGGTTAAATTAGGCTTTGGGAATTTTCTGGAATTTTTTAAAATTTTTCTGGGATTTTTCTGATTTTTTTTTAAGGGCCTAATTTAATTTATGGAAATTTTTATTTAATTTCTGGAATTTTATCGGCGGTTTTCCTACGGCTGGAGTCTTGCCACCGGCAAGGAATTCGCCGGATTGATGGGGTAATGATTAGGTGCGTACCAGCCTTATGTGGGTGTTTGCAAGCCGATGGATGATCTTCCCGCAATACTTAGAGTAGTTAAATGTCAAAAGCTGATTCCATTGGCCATTTTATTTGCTTTATCTGTCATTTATTTATTTATGCGATGTATGAAATGTATGGAATATATAATTGTTAATTAATTATTATTCATGCATTAGATCCATGATATTTATTTAAATGGCTTGATTTATATTAATTAAGTTATGAAAATTAATTGAATTTGATTACTAATTAATTTGAGGGCACCTATTGGGAAACGCAAAATTATTTTTGTAAATTATTTTTAAAGTGTGCTTCAAATTAAATATTAGTGAATCGTTTAAAGTTCAAATATTTTCTAAATTTAATTGGATTAAAATCAAGACGTTTTGCATGCATTATATCATGTAAATGAATAAAATGAAAACCCTAATTATGAATGATTAAAAATTGAGTGGGAGCGGGGATTTTTATACATTGCCCCATGGCCTTCGTTATTAAAACCATTGTAATTAGATCTTCAAAAATAAGGCCTCACGCATGGTTTGAAGAGTCTTAATATTACAAGAATGGTTGTCTCATGAAAATTAAAATATTTAATGTTCATTATAATTAGATCTTTAAAAATAAGGCCCTACGCATGATTTAAAGAGTCTAGATTATAATGGTAAGATATTTAATGTTTTATTTTTCATTAGAGCTTTAATAACGTTATACACTCAATCTAAAATCAATAGTGTTAGCTCTCCAACGGAGTGGTTTACACTAGGTGATTTTAGAAAGGTTAAACATAATCGGAAATCATTTCATATAGATAGACAAGGCATTGTCTTAATAGATATGGAGATGATGGGATTTGCCCACCAATAGCAATAACGAACTTCGCCAACCGAATAAGTATTTGGCGTATTGGTTATCCGATTTTTCATGCAGTGGTTAAGGGACCCACATAC